GTGTGCATTCGTATTTCGTCGGTCCCTACAGCGCAAGGCGCGTCTCGTCCCGTCGCGTCCTATCGTATGGTTATTGCATCACAGTCGATACCAATCGACGGTGTTTCAACATTAATCGCCGCTGCGTCCCGTTGTTTTGCGGTGGTTTTCGCGATATTATATTTTAAAGTAACGAAGTCGAAGAGACACACACACACACACACACACACACACGGTGGAGGTTCGCGCGCGTTCGTGACGTTTCGCGCTGCTTAATGAAAATGCATCTCACGCGCAGGGAAAATGGTTTAGGAGGTAAACGTTGAGTTATAAAAGAAAAAAAAAGAAAACGGACACACGTGCGTAGTCAGAAATAATGAATATTTTAGTGAGATGATATTAAAATTACTCACATAACGGGATGTGATGAAATAACAACGCGTGTAATAAAAGTGGATGCGAAAAACATTAATTTATTTTGTTGCCAGATATCTCGCACGCAATCTAACAGTGCGGTAAATTTTATTTTATTTTATTTTTTTCGCGCGTGATCACAATTAAGAATTTAAACCTGTATGGAGGATAGAAACTATTGATCGGCGTGCCTTAAATTCGCTTTTTCTCGCTGTGCTGATGTCGCGTTTCCCCCGTCGAGGCAATCTGGACATGTACAATTATTCTCGGACAAGAGCCCTCCGAAGTACACGTCGACAGGATCGAATTGCTCGTTTCTATTGGCCGGCTCGTCCTGTCATTCGACGCCGCAGGGCCGTTAAGGGAGGATACCTCCTGCACTGATGTTACACCGAAGTGCATCAGGCGCAAAGTGCACTCCGCTTTCCGGCATTCGAGTTTCGTTCTGCATAAATATTCCTTCCGCGTTACTCCGATGAATATTGCGACAATGCCGCTTGATAATCGCCAGACAACAACCACGGGTTGAATGCGTTGCACACTTATTTTGTACCTACTTGTAATTTTATTGATCGCGCGCACACAATATACGTAGCGATAGAAAATTATATATTGCGGTTCACAAGAAATGGCATCGAGATATGTGAGAAGAGCATAATTATGTGTCAGATAAAATATCGCAAAATTTGTTTAAAAAAAAACAAAAAATGGTTTTACGCAATTCAATTGAGTTTCGCGGAATTGTTGGAAAAATTATGCGATTGACGTTCCGATAAAATTGCACAAGAATTCTCTTCGTTACAGTGAAACAAAACTTTACGCGCATGAGATTAAACCGACATTTCAACATAATTCTCCTGCGCTACTCCTTTTTTTATATTCTATATAATAATAAACTATTTCGCAATTATTCCACGAACCACTCCGGCGATTATTTCGCCACGGAAGTGCAACGTGTTCCGCCGCGTACAATACGCCGCTTGATTTCGGGACGCGATTCGCGTGCACGAGGAATTTTCAAGTCGGACTCGCTTCGTCGGCCAGCTATGGTCGACCATAGATCGCAAATGCAAGTCTCTGGCGATAGTGCTGACCCCGTTGGCAGAACGACATCGTGTTTCGTCGCGTTGCCGGAATAGCGGTGTGCGGACACACTCGTATATATACAAACGCCTCGGTCCGGGATGTCCTGCGAATTGCGTTTCCGTGCTGTGACCGCGCGCTCAGCACCGGGATCCTATGGCCGACGGTGCGTTTTATGGGCGTACGCATAGCGCGGGCACTGCGATAGAAGACCGCGGCGAACCGGAAATGGGTCAGAGCCGAAACACAACACGGAGCATTGATTTCAACGATTTCGCCCGCTGCTTTATTACGGTTGCGAGTTGCGGTCTAGAGTGGTCATTAATGTGCGATATAGGGAAAAAAACACTCTTCTTCTTTCTTTTTCTGTCTATATCTCTCTCTTCTTTCTTTCTCTCTATTAATCTCTTTTCTCTTTTTCTTTCACGAACGCGCGCAATACGTTTAGTTTGCTCGAGCTCGGCGGAAACCAACAGCGTTGTTTTTCTCGAACAATGGAGCAATATTTGGTGCCGCGGAAATGGAAATATATTTAATAACCGATACGCGCGCGCGGCGCGTTACGGCTGCGGCGGTTCGGACATGCGGTTTGTTTTGTCCGATGCGGATTACGCGTTGATGGAATATTATCGATACGCCCGGTAGGAGTTTTCAACGAGCTCTCGCGTACTGTAAAATTTTATGCATCGACTATTGTGCGTATACGAAACGAATTTTTTTGTTGCTATACACTATAAAACGAACGAAACATTTAATTCGTCTTAATACTTAAAAAATTTAAAAAATTTTTTTTTTTTGCACAACATTGATGTTCTTCGAGAAACAACTTTAGAAGTGTAAATTATAATATATCTCGGTGTGTCACACACACATGTATATGCTCTCACACGAGAGGTTTTAATTATTTCGTGTTGCTTTTTCGGCGAAGTTGATATGTTGATCAAGAGGAACGTTTCTATTCCCGCCATTTGTCTCGTTGTCTCACGTCTTCCCGCGGGAGAGAACGGCCGTGCGCGGGACGTGCCAGCGATTTGTGTATTTTGACGAGTTTCGGGCTCGTCAGAACCGGATGTCTCCACTCCGGAGACCGGAGCGTTAGAGGCGCACAACCAGCTGTCTCTGGTTTTGGATTCCCTCGACGCTCGCCGCAACACTCCCAAGCTCTCCTCTCCGAAAACGCATCGTTACAAATGCAAATAGCATCCCGTACGCATTTTTTTCCGGCTTTATACGCTGTTTCACTGAGAGAGGGAAAACGCGTTCACACAGATCGGGGGAAGGATTATTAGCATAGAGAAGTCAAATGAAATTTACGCGCGCGCTTTTCGTCGCATTGTGGCTGAAACTTATTTCAATACTACCCGCGAGAGAGGCATAAATAATGTATCTCTCTTTTTTATTCAATATTTGAATATTACGTAGCATCTATAAAAAGTAAACACAGTTTTAAGTAATAGTGTACAGTTAAACAAGCGAAAGAAAAAAAAAAACTCTTAAAACTTTTACGCGTACAAATTTAATTTATCCGCGGTTGTTAATCGGCGGTATAATAACCGGCGCAAAAATAATGACTGGTTTTTACAGAGTTTATTATTACTTTGCTTATAATTCTGCAGTTATGATAAAAAAAAATATGGCGGTTTCCTTTGCTCGCCCTTTATAGCTGTTTTTTTTATATATTATTTTTTTCACGCGCGCTTAATAAATATATCCCCCGCTGGGATTTTATGAAAACGTCGTAATAAACACACGGAGAAACGCCGGTTTTTCTCTTAGAGCTCTCCGCCAAATTCTGTTGCCTTCCCATCGTGCGAAAAATGCTGCTACTGAATCATTTTACCTTACTTCCGATTCGGCGAGGAGGAAAAGGGAGATGAGCACACACACCGGCGCAACACCAAAAAAGTGAAAAAAAACGAAAAGAAGAAGAAAAGGGAAAAACGTCAACGAACCGGTGTGCCGGTGTGGCGCCTGCGCGGGTATGCATCGCCGATGTATTCTCTCACGGCGTGGCGCCGCGACGCCAGGCGTCGTCAGTAGCGCGGCGTGCGCCGTCACACTCGCACGTAACTCTTCATTGAGCCGCGCGTTCAAATGCAGTGCGCGTAGTCGCACGTTATTGCTCCAAGAACTCGTCCATTAATTTTCTTCTTTTTGTTTTGCGCAAAACGTCGAAAATTGCACGAAAAAATTTCAATTATTTTTGTGACAAACCTTTTGAGGGCGCAGAAAGAACTGGATTTTGCGATCACACAAATGAAAACCAAAATGTTTTAGAAACTATATTTATCGACAAACAATTTCGTCAGAGTGACGAGTCATGGGACTTTTCTACGAGTAATTTTTGCGAGTAGTTTAAGTATATATTTTGATGAGGAGCGTATCGTTTTCTGAAAATCTGAGTTTAATTGCGAGGGCCATGTCATGGAGATAAGATCGTCGGTGCCGGGACCGTCAGCGATGAGCAAGTGTGTGAGGTTCACCACACCGGGGCAACGCTGGATTTTCGTCGACGAGAGATAAGAGTGAAAGTACGAAGAGAAGTTTCGGAACTATCTAAAAGTGGCGAGTCTCTGCTTCTCGATTAAAATGATCGACGACGATGAGAAGACGCCGAAGATGAGCGACGAGAAGTGGAAATTCAATTAAACCGAATGACAACTCTCGAGAGAACTCGGAAACTCCAATAACTCCTGCGAACCTCGTGCGGAATAACCGAACGAGAGAACGGGCTAAAAAAAAAAAAAAAAACGTGCTTTCCATCTGCTTTGCGCGCGCAATGTATAATTCAAAAAAATTACAATTGTGCTACTTTACGACGGAGTAATTCACGGCATCGCCTTGAGAGAACGTTTTCGACGGGGCGTCGACGTCGTTATTCTCCCAGGTTTCGTGCAGCAACGCCGGTATTCAATACGAGAAACGTGCGCTCGCGGTTCTCGTGCCGGAATAAATCGCGATAAATCGCCGGTTCGTGCGAGTTGCGGTAAAGAGCACGTGTCACACTTCCACGGCAATTTCGATACCGATATCGATATCGTTTTTCGCGGTCGTTTTCGTCTGAAAATTATCATCGGCTTATTATCGTTTCGTGGCAACTGTTGGCGGCTCTGGGACGTTTACTTTTCTCTCGCACGTCATTTGTGTCGATCGATTTGAGTCGATCGACGAACGAACCTGTGTTGACATCTTCGAGCAGATGTTCGTTACATCGTTTGAAACTTGTCTCCCATATTCCCCAAGTTCGTGATTATTAAAAATGTCTGACAAATGTAATATATCGCATTAATATTAATTAAGTCATTTATGTAAGTCGGTGACTCTTCGAACATGTTCGAATCGTCTTGGAGATCTGCGTTTTGTTTCGACGAATTCTCGTCTCGTGACTGTTGGGACTTGAGTTCGAGAGCGTAGATCCGGTCCGGATCGCTGACGATCAAACACCGCCGATGAACTGTGAAAGTGTCGTGAGAAAAACTGTGAAATCTACAGAAGCGGAAGGACCTTGAACATTTTTCTCGCTACGACATGGCGAGCGGTCAGGAAGGCAAGGAATCGCCCAGGTACATAATTTTTTTTTTTTTTTATTAAAAGTTTCAAATAATTAAGATACTTAATGTGTTTTTGCATATTGGATACGTTTGTGTATGGCGATCAAAGAAAAATTAGCCATAGAAATAAACTATATACGCGATGGTTTTATTTATTAACAATTTTTCACGAGACTTAAACACAATCTCGATTCGATTCAACAAAAATGTCTACGATCTTATAATCTGCGTAATATAACAAACGTTGGATTTCTGCGGAGTCGAGTTTTCACCGAGAAAAATCTCCAGGAAAAGACCGATGCGAAGCAACTTGTTAACATCCAATTAAGCCTTCGGAGTCTGTAATTAACGGAATTCTTCGTTCTGCTTAATTGCGCGTGACGCTGGCCTCATTACACTGGCGGCCCGCGATTAATTGCTAATGGATAATTAAATCCCGCCTAGTTTCTCATTACCTCTCTCCGCGTATGTCGCACGCGTTCTTCTAAGCGAGTAGACGGCGCGGCGAGTCCAATCACGGGAGAAATCGCGTGGGTAAAAGAATCGCGCTTACAAACGCGCGCTGTCATCGCGCGCGCGAATGGGTTCGAGAGCCGTGAGAGAGAGAGAGAAAGAGAGAGAAAGAGAGAGGAGAGAAGGGAAGAAGGGAGATGGATCCGTTTTTACCGATACGTTGGAATTAAATCCCGGGGAAGAGAGGTTTTCTATCCTCTCTCGCGATGGTAATCGCGGCACGTACCGCGACATTACGACGCGGCCCATGTGCGTCGGGGCGTCTATGAACGTGACTGACCATCATGTGGCGAGAGAGCTCGCAGTTGCAGTTGTACGCGTCACTCGGCTGTCGAGCGGTACGTGCGAGCTCGCCCAGCTCGCGAGGCGTAAAATCGCGACCGAAGCTTGATATACACATGCGACAGCCGACTGCAGAATGAGTAATTAAAACTCAGTCGATGCGAATAATTTATGGTCGAACTGCGGTGGTGAAAGAGTGAGAATACAAAAGCTTGGAAATATTTTTTTAAACACATATATACATATATATGCAGATATGATACGAAATATCGTGATATTAATTGAAACTTATAAATATTTTTCAACTGTGTAGTTACATACACATATATACACAAAAAATAGAATTATTATATAATTATTATATAAGTTAAATATACTTCTTGCACATTTGGAGTTGGAGCAATAATTGGAACGAATCACTTTTGTCTGTAACTACAGACGCGCATGAGAGTCTTTTCAATATGGAAAATGAAACGTCCCCCGCGATTATGAAGAGCGCGTACGTGTCTCGGGATTGATTCGGTATTCGAAAAGGCGAATAATCACCCCGGCTCGACAAACGGCTCGAGATATATAGCGTTTCATTATTGGGCAACAACAACGTAGCGAAGAATGCCGACGAAAAGGACCATCGCGATTTTTCCATCGACGGCGACCTCCGGCGCGGTCTTTCGCGGTCCTCGTCGTCTCTACTTATTATGATCCCGCGTCGTTCTTCTCTCCAAGACGTTCTTCTCCTCTCTCTCTCCGGTTCTCCTCGCCACCCAATACTCCGGATATTGTATGAACCGCGGCGGCCGATCATCTTTCTTCCCTTCTCGCTCTTTCCTGTTCGATTATTACGAAACTCGCTCTCAACGAAAAGACGAAGAGTGGCGAAGCGAACGGAAGGCAGAGGGAGAAGAGGGAGTGGTTGCAGGAGGCGGTCGGAGAACGTCGGACGTGTGCCCGCGGGGCATTGTCATTTTCATCGGCTTGCAGCTTTCCCGCGGCTTTTCCTCTTCCCTACCGCCCCCGCGCGTTTCTTGCCGCCCGTCTCTTTCCATCCGCGCGAAAAGCCAGCGGCAATGAAAATACGTTGCTCTTTATTCGTCGCGCCGAGCGGACGTTCCATCTGGATGTTTCGGTCTTCAATGTGATACGGAGACACGCGGGATCATCATAGATCCGGCCATATATATATATATATATACATATATATATGTCATTTATTGAAAATTAACATGTGAAATGATATCCATGCGCGCATATCATATTGTAACAACCGCAATATCATATGTGCATTATCATTCTCCAAACTTGAAATGCCACGAGCAAGTTCGTTGAAATGTTCGCAATTTCAATATTAATTACTATAGCATTTGTCTCAAAAAGCAATTAAACATGTGTGTCAAACGTATCGGTTACATAAAAAAAAAGAATTTTTTTTTAATTTAAACAATTATATATTTTTATTTTTATTGATGGTTGCATATATAAAACAAAGCAAACTTTTTAACGATTATATAATAATATTTTTCAAAACACAAAAATTAATATAAACCGTAATTAAATTATTTTACGTGGAAAGCGTCTCCCACCATATTCACTGCCGATTTGTTATAAAAGATCAATTGTTGAAACACACAACAAGCCGACAGATAGAAGCACCATCGTGAGATGAAAGCGCAAATAATAATACGCCGGGTGAAGGACAAGGGTAAAATAGCCTCGGAGCAAGATATGATGAATCTCATCATATCACTGATGCCGATTCGTCTGCACGTCGCACATGCTTACGCGTGTACTACAGCGGTCGCTTTGTACCCTCTATTTGTTTATCCTTATCTCCCTAGCTGGCCGCGCAAGCTTTTTCTTGCGAAAACGCGTTTCGTGTTTTGTTCTGTCGCTGATGCGCGTCAGTTCTCTTTCTCTCGAAAAATATTTCGTCAGCTTTGCGAAGTTGAAGTTTTACGCTTTTTTTTTTTTACCGGAATCTTGACCGAGGAAGAATTATAAATTGTAAACTTTTAAATGTTTTTGTTTTCGATACGTATTAAAACATTTTCCAGAAATTTAGAAACGCGTAATTTCTCGGTAAAAAAATCCTTTCTTTATAAAATGTGCACGATATGTATTACGATCAGTTTTGTTAGTCTGTGTATTTTCTTTATCAATTTAAATTTTTTAATTTTTTTAAGAAATATTAAAAAACTACATTTTCTCTCTATCTCTCTGCTGAACAATTTTCTAGAAAGAAGGAAGAATTCGTGTTGCGCTCTTACGGTGTTACATTGGCATAGAAATGAGTTTGTCTCGTATTTCCAATTTCGCGAATCAATTCAATCTCGGTAGAGATATATTTGTGTGTCCCATGTTCATCCAGGAAAGATGAGCGAGAGCTTGCGGAAAACGGTTTTAACTTCTTGACTCGCGCGACGAAATAAGTCGCGTCGAATTCTCGATCGAGAAGAATTCACTTAAAGAAGAACGGGTTTGCGAAGTTGACAAAATTTCATAAACACGAGATGTTAACTTTTCCGCGAGATTTTACAGCTCGTCACGACCACATCACGTAATACGTATATTTCGTCGAGAATCTTTCGACGGCGGTTTACGACTAACGAACGATTCTTCGCTATAGAAAGGAAAGTGTCTCGTCAGCGTCAGTCTCTGAAAAGACGAGGAAAAGCTTGCCGTGGAGGCTTCGCTCCCGGGAAAATTACGCTGCGCAGGATTTCGCGTGCGGCGGAAGGAGACGGACTGCTGTAATTTGTTTTCGGTCTTCTTTGGTTGTTCCTTCTCGTTTTTTCTTTTTTTTTTTTTTTTCTTGCATATACTTTGAGCAGCCGAGAGGGGAATAAATCCCGCGGATGAATCTTCAAGGAGTCCATTGATTAATATTTCTCGTGACTGGAATTGCGTTTAATTTTCAAATGTATACACACAGCATCGCGCCATAATTAAACCCGCAACACGCTTGCGAGGAAAGAGGAACAGAGAGAGAGAGAGAGAGAGAGAGTGGACGGAGTCATGTATACGTGTTGCTTCTGTGAATCTGTTACTTTTCACCTAAAGCGTGTGTAATTCGGAAATTGTGAAACGCTTTAAGCTTGAAGCATTCCAGTCTTGTACAACTCAAATCCGCAATTTTTTTCGCAAAATTTTAAAATTAGTTAGGGGGGTATCCGGGGTCTGTCATATGTGAGATGCAAATCCGGCATCCCGTATGATTTTAAGAATTGAGTTTTCAACTCAAAAAACACTCATTTGTAAAAATTTACAAGTTGAATTTGTTACATGTGTATGTATATATATATACACGTACAAGTTTCTACTCAAAAACATCTTGAGAATAGCTCGTAAGGCCTTATATATATCTTGTTGGTAATTTCACGAGTCTTAAGTCATAATTGTTTCAAATCCGCTCGTATGTGAAACCAATCTAAGTTCAGTAGCTTGTAAGAAAAATTGATTTTACAGATAGTATATTTCTCAGATTTAAATTTTCTTTACGTAATTATATTTTAATTTTTTTAAATTAAAACCGCATATATAAACCGGGAAACTCGTAATTTTTCACGTGATAAATTATGTCTTACGTAGAGCAAGCGGTCCGAGTGGTGGCACGTAAATCCAGGCCGCGCGCATTACTCAACCAAACGCGAACATCATGCGACGATATTCGTCCTGGGATTATAAGTGGATTCGAGTCACGCTAAAGACTGAAATGTTTCCTGAATAAAAATGTCCTCGGAAGTCGTACGCTTTAACGAATTACTTTTCGCTTCCGGTACGACGCGGCGCAGTCGACGGGCTCTCTCTCGGATGAAGGCTATCCTCGCAGCTCCTTCAAGTCCATCGGCCATCTTCTTGGAAATTAGTTTGAGCATAGCGCGGGAGGAAGTGCACGGCCGACGACGAGAGTAGTTAACTGAAGGTGAACCAACGCGAACTAAACTCGCACATAATGACGGCAGATTGAAAAAGTTTCCTCGGTCGGCCGTCGCTCAGTCCGCCGGGCGTATTTTCTTTCTCGCGCCAGCGGCGAGTCGCGGCGCTTATCCGGCTTAAACGGAAGTGGGATACGCGCGCGATTATGGTCTCTATTATTGAAAGAAACGAGTCTGGCGTGCGCGACCGCGACGTACTCTTAAAGTCCGAGACTCATGCGACGTCCAGTAAAATAGATAGCGAGAAAAAATTTACGATTTTTGCGATTCATAAGTGCGTGCGTG